ACTTGAGCCACAGTGCCATTTCTGGCTTCTTCTGTTCATGTGGAATTGAACCCAGGGCTTCATGCATGCTACACAAGCAAGCACTCTACACTAAGCCACATTCCCGGCTCTTACTACCTTCTTGGAGTCATGTTTTTCACCAGGATGCAGTAAGTACCATGGGACATAGTATACTAAATGTATTATTGCTTTCAGTTTTCTCTGAAGCTTTTGCTGTATTCTCACCTCAATTTTGGTTGTGAGTTCTGTTCAATTGAATTAGTAGGAGGCAGAAGAATTATTGATTTTTTTTAAACTTTTATGTTTTGAGATGGGGTCTTGCTACATAGCCTAGGATGGTGTCAAATTCACAATCTTCCTGTCTCAGCATCCATCCCAAGTGACCAGTTTTTAAACAAATTTACAATAAGAAATTTAGGTATGTAGTCACAGAAATGCCTCTTTCTTTATCACTCTAGACAACTTGTGTGAACAATGACAATAGCTGTTTTCAGTTAGCTATGTGATAGATTGTTAAAAGGCAGGAACTTAATAAATTACTGATTTAATAAATTGTCTGGTTTTGTCACCAGGCAATGAATGGGGTCTTCTCTCAGCTTCCCAGTTTCCGTGCAAAAATCAAGGTCCTTGAGATGCGCTAATGAAAAATGTTTCAAAGTGTCTCATAGAAAGGGGAATCTCAAAAGGCAAATTTTTATTTTAGTTTTTTACCTTTTTTGTCAGTTGCTTCCTTGCCTGGGCTGTCTCTGAACCGTGATCTCATCCTCCTGAGTAGCTAGGATGACAGGCATGAGCCACTGGTGCCTGCCTAAGGCAAACATTTTAGCATGGACTTATTTTAGTATAATTGGGTTAAAGTAGAGAGAAATGGGGAAAGAGAAACATCACCTGGGCAGATTTAAATAGCTCCTCTCAGGTCTCCCAGCCCTTGCAACTAAACATCTCAAAGTAATGAAGGAGAGAAGTTTAACTGCTTTTTTTTAAGTTTACTTCCCATTTTTAACTTGTGAGTCTGGACTTTTTGATATTTGTTAAAAATAATACAATTTCTTCGTTCATCTAACCCACCTCAGTTTGACTCACTTCTTAGGGCATAGATTTGGGGACCGGCATGAAAAGATATCCATCAGAACCCTGATGTTTTGAGATGATCCCTTCAGAGAAGTCCAAGGGCATCCTCACATTAAAAAACTATGTTTCCCAAAGTGTGTTCACTGAGACAGCATATTAAAATGTAGGTTCCTATTGAAACCCCACCCTAAATCTGCCTCATAATTTGCCTGCAGCTGTGAGAGATGATTCACTTGCACAAAGCTCTTCTATGCCCTGAAGGCTATTCTCTGGCTTCAAAAGAGCTTGTAAATGTGACCAGTGTGAGGGCAGAGTTAGTGAGTAAACACTCCAGCCAGTCCTGTCTTCAGCCGGGCAATTTTAAAGCATGTTCTTCATGGCTCCTCAGAGTCTCTGCTTGCCCAAAAACTCTGCTTGCCCACATCAGCAACCTGCTCATTAACACACTTTCCCGCACTCATTTTCTCCATTCCTTGTTTATGCTTCTGAGACAATCACGCCAATAAACTACTTACTTACATATCTTTAGTTTGGGGTATTCTTTGGAGAATCAGATTAAGGATCTTCATCTCAGAAGAAGTAGAGTTTGGGTAAGTAGAAGACTCTGAAGCCAGCTGCCTAGGTGAACATTCTGGATCCACTCTAATAAGTTGATAAGTAGCTAACTAGTTATTGCCCATTCTCAACTCTAGTTTCCTTACCTTTAAAATGTTGAGTAATGATAAATATTCTTTCTCTGCCCTTCACTGTGTCTCTTTATTTGGCATATGAGGGAGAGTGGCTGGACTTAACATAGGACTCATAGACTTGGGGCCTTGGGTCTAAAAACCAGTTTCAATAGCAGCTATCTTATAGGGTTTGAAGAAGGATTAAATGACTTTGAGGGAGTGGCAAAGGGGAAAAGATTAAGCAGATGGGGAGAGATCCTGACTCAATGAAGATAATACCCCTCCTCTTCCTGGAGACCCTGTGAAGCAGAGGCACCCAGTAGCGGAGACATTCTCTCCTCCTCCTGAAGATCCTGGGAACCCAAGATAATCTCTGACAGAAGCAATGCCCCCTGACAAGCGGTAGCATCTCACAGGGAACAGATCCCCCTCTCCTTGGGTGAGGTGGGCAGAGACCCAACCAGATGTCAGAACAGCTAAGACTTGCCCAAAAGGAATATAAAAGGGAGACCCCACAAGTACTACGTAGAGCTACCAATCTCCAGGCCTCTTCTCTCTCTCTTGCACCAAGAAGTCTTTTCCATCCCCTTCCTTCTACTTTTCCTCTTCCTCCTCATCCTCCTCTTTCTTCTCCTGCCCTTTGCTTAGGAAACTAGTGGGCAAGACCTCTTATGGCATAAGGTGGCCCCTCCCAGCTGGGAGTACTAGTTGGAGGTTCGTACCAACCCGTGGTTAAAAGGCTTCCCTCAGTTTCCCTGGCACTTTACCCTCACTTTCAAATAAATGTTGCCTCTGTTCCCACTTTTTCTGCATCATAGTTCTTTATTTGGTGGAGAAAAAAAAAAGACCTAAGACCCAAGATCCCTGGACAGTATCAAGTTACATGCTTCTAAGAGTACCTGACACACAAAATATGCGTAAGTGTTTGCTGTAGTTATTACCTGATAATTCCAAATATCTTAGGTTAGCCTCAGAAATGTGCTTTTGAGATAACCTTTCCAAAAGGATCTCATGCCCAACAGAATTTTTGAATCATTGAGCCAGAGACAAGGTTTTTGGCATTCCCAATTCACAGAACATTTCAGGAAGCCTATTCCATCCCAGCAGATACGCAGCCCACCATGTTTTCCATGTTTGCCTTTGGAGTATAAAAACCTGCGTCACTGCTCAAAGTACAGGGAAGAAATAATGGCAGGAGAATCTGCCTGTAACACTCACTGGAGGACTGAATCTATCCCCTGGTTAGCCTTACTCCCCCACAAGCCCTAAAACTCATTGGTTCTTCCAAATCAATGGTTCTCAAAGTGTGGTCAGACTGCCAATATCAGCACTTCTGGGAGGTTTCCTAGCTACCAGATATTAAACTCTGGGATAAGGCCCAGCAGTCTGTGTTTTAACAAATCCTTCAAATGCTTCTCATTTAGCCTAACATTTAGGATCTAAAAAGAAAAGTCTAACAGACTTTTCTGCCTAGGCTGGTTTTGAACCACAATCCTCTAATCCTCCAAGTCTCACCCTCCTCTGTAGCCATTATTTCAGTCTTTGTCCCTGGAGGAGTTTCTCAGAATTTGTCACTTGTCTTGAGTAGAGTAACAAGTTGCCTGGGGGATGGGCTTTCTTTCTTTCTTTTTTTTCTTTTTTGGTGGAAAAAAATATTTGTATAAGTATCTTTACAATAAAAAAGTATGTATAATGTAGAATTAGCCAGCTAGACTCAGTTTGGATGATTCCAATTTTGTTGGCAACATCTAAAGCACCCTGATCAGGAGCCAGTTGAATATATGCCATCTCTGCATCAGGTCTGATCAGGATATTAACCTTAGCCACATCAATGTCACAGAGCTTCTTCATAGCCTGTTTGATCCGATGCTTGTTGGCCTTGACATCCACAATGAACACAAGTGTGCTGTTGTCTTCTGTCTTCTTCATGGCTGACTCAGTAGTCAGGGGGAACTTGATGATAGCATAGTGGTCAAGCTTGTTTCTCCTTGGGGCACTCTTCCGAGGATAGTCGGACTGTCTCGGGTGCCACAGAGTCTTGGGCGGAAGGTGGGTGAAGTATATATCTTCTTCTTCTTGTGGCTGTAGATGCCTTTCAGCACTGCCTTCTTGGCCTTAATTCAAAGCCTTTTTCTTGGCTTTGACTTTAGGAGGGGCAGGAGCTCCCTTCTTGCCCTTTGGCGCCTTTTGGTGAAATGCTGGCTATTCTCTTTCACTGGAGAAGTTTACCTTTTGTCACAAGTGCTTGATAAGCATGTACTTACCACTTCTGCTAGGCATAGTTAGTGTAGGCCTTCGATTCCAGAGCTCAGGAGACTGAGGCTTGAGAATTACCAGTCTGAAGCCAACTAAGATACATAGTAAGACCCTGTCAAAAACATTTCCCCATAGGATTTTAAATGTTAATACATCTACACTAATAAACAACTTGGATTTTTCCAATAAAAAGGGGGACTGGTTAATACACTGTATGCAAACAATAATTGATTGTGTAAATTGCGAGCTGAATTCTCATTTTGAGAATAATGTTTTCCATGTAGTACAATCAAAGAAAGTGTTTACACAGATCTGTCCATGAATTTCATTGTGTGCTGTTGAATAGCTAATATATAATTGCATTTGTCTGTAAAATAATCTATTAATAAAACTGGAGAAAATTAGGCGTAGATTCATTATTTCAGTTAGTGTGGATGCTCAATGAAGTACATTGTTCTTGCAAATGAGGTGAATGCTCATTATCATTCTCAGCAGGCTGGGCAGTACATATCTGTCCTCAATTCTTCCAGTGCTCCTGAATGTTCCAGAAACTCAACTAATTCATTAAAGTGCTTGGAAAACGTTATTGCATAGTTAATCTTTCTTTGTGTTAATTAATGTCTTTGGTTTAAAAAATGTTTCATAACAAAATGGAATGAAAAATCATTTGCATATTGTCTTTGTAAAGATATCTGCAATGTCTAGTGGCAGTCTTTGGCCTTTGTGAAGAAAAGGTGGTTCCTTGCATCATCATTGGGTTTTATTTCATTTTATTTTTCTTAACCAGTACTTGGCTTTGAATTCCAGGCCTTGCACTATTGCTTGGCATTTTTGTTCACTCCTAGCTCTCTACCACTTGAATTACACCTTCAACTTCTGGCTTTTTCCTGGTTAACTGGAAATAAGAGTTTCATAGATTTGTCTGTCCAGGCTGGCTTTGAACTTCAATTCTGAGAACTAAGCTTCCTGAGTATCTAGAACTATAGATTGAGCTACTGGTACCCTGCCTTTGTTTTGTTTTTGTTTTGGTGTCAGAAACAGGACTTGAATGCAGAGCCTCATGCTATCAGTTTTTTCACCCACAGTTAGCTCTCTACTACTTGAGAGCCATTTCTCTTGTCTAGTATGTTTCTGATTAATTGGAGATAGAGTCTCTATAACACTGTATAAGAGAGAGTCTCAGCTCCCTGAGTAAGTAGTATTACAGGTATGAGTCATTAACACTTGGCCATAGTTGGTTTTCAGAATCTTTGCTTTGCCACTACTATTTGGGCAAATGAAAGGTGAAGATACTATGTTCACAGACAAGACAACTAGGGACTATGCTCAAGATTCATTCATAGAAAGCTAGAAAACCTACAGCTGTCTAGGAGATTAAAAAACAACTACACTGCTGGGTACCAGTGGCTCATATCTATAAACCTAGCTACTCAGGAGGCTGAGATCTGTAGATTGTGATTCAAAGTCACTTACAGTCGGGAAAGTCCTTAAAATTCTTTTCTTTCTTTCTTTTCTTTTCTTTTTTTTTTTGGTTGGTTGTGGGGCTTGAACTCTGGACCTGGGCACTGTCTCTCAGCTCTTCAGCTCAAGGAGAGTGATCTACCACTTAAGCCACAGTACCACTTCCAGTTTTCTGATGGTTAATTGGAGATAAGAGTCGTATGGCCTTTCCTGCCCAGGATGGCTTTGAATCACAATCCTCAGATCTCAGCCTCCTACTAGCTAGGATTATAGGCATGAGCCATCGGTGCCTGGCAAATAATTTGAATTCTTTTTAAAAATTTTTGTCAGTCATGGGGATTGAACGCTGAGCCTAGGTGTTGTCCCTAGCACTCTACCACTTGAGCCACAGCACTATTCCAAGATTCTTATCTCTAGTTAACCACCAAAAAAGTGTGAAGTAGAGATGTGGCTTAAGTGGTAGAGAGCTCTAGCCTTGACCAAAAAAAGCTCAGGGAATGGGTCCAGGCCCTGAGTTCAATGCCCAGGACCACCACTAAAAAAATAAACCCAAAAAACTATACTGAAATATTCATACATTCTTTAATTTCTTTTATTTTTTATGTGGTACTAAAAAATGCTAGGCCAGCATGCTACCACTAAGCCACATTCCATCCATCCATTCTTTATACAATGAATTATTCAATCAACAATCATTAATTTAAGCAATATATAAACACCATGCGAGAGATTATCTATTGAAGTTAACAATTTCATTTAGGTCTGATAAGGAATTAGAAAACTAAGCACTCTAACAAACTATTGTTGGTAAAGTTAATATACCTTTTCATAGGGGGAAAGAAGAAATTTGACTTGAAGTGTGTATATCCTATTATTTAATAAACCCAAGTCTCAGTATATATCTCATGGAAACATACCCTCATTCTTTTCTTTTTTTTGGGGGGGGGTCCAGTCATGGGGCCTGAACTCTGGGTCTGGGCGCTGTCCCTCAGCTCTTCAGCTCAAGGCTAGCACTCTACCCCTTGAGCCACAGCGCCACTTCTGGCTTTTTTCTGTTTGCTTATGTGGTGCTGAGGAATCAAACCCAGGGCCTCATGCATTCAAGGCAAGCGCTCTACCACTGAGCCATCTTCCCAACCCCTCCTCATTATTTTCAAATCCACATGTTTACAAAAAATTATTTGTCACTCCAGAATAAGCACTTGCATCATTTTCAGTCAGCAGTGACCATTTGCAGAGCACATGATCCCAGCTAAGATCAAACAAGGGGACGCTACCTTCCTACCTTAGCTCTCAAATATCCTTTGGGTGGTCAATTTATTGCCATTTTTTCACATTTTGGTCCTTTTTCATTGAAAATGATCCTAAAGCACAGTGCTGAAGTTCTGCCTACTGTTTCTAAGTTCAAGAAGCTGTGAAGTGCCTGACCGAGTAAAATGCTGTTTAAGTACGAGTTATGGTGCTGTTACCTTTGAATTAAATGCTAATGGATCCGCAATATATATTATATAAAGTGTCTTTAAAAAGCAACATACTGAATATTTGTGTCCCCTTCAAATTCATATGTTGAAGATGTAGTTTCGATTGGGATAGTATTTTGAACTGACGCCTTTGGAGGTCCTTAGGGTTAGATTGTAGGTAAATGGAACTACTTGTCTATTTTAGGCGGTCCCATGCTTAAAATGTTTGCTTAGTTCTAGTCAATATTGTTAGGCCAGCTTGCTCTTTAAGATCTATGTTTTGTGCTCTTTCTGAAGCAGAGGTAGAGGTTCTGATGAAGCACACAGCCCTCATGTTGTTCGCAGGGCACGGTCATTTACAACTGTGAGGGAACTTTATCCTGTCCACTCATCTTAGGCAAATGTATTCCTCCTTGGTTCCATCAGTCACCCATACAGTGTGCAGAGTTTTGTCCTAGGCCCAAATACCAACTTTCTGGGGATTACTTTTTTAGGGCTTCAATATATTTGTATTTATTTATCTATTTTTTTTATTGCCAAGGTGATGTACAGAGGGGTTTCAGTTACATAAGTAAGGTAATGACATTTTTTGGTCAAACTTGTTACCCCTTCCCTCAATTTTCTCCTACTTTCCCTCCCTTCATCCCCCCCCTCCAAGTTGTACAGATCATTTCTAACATATTATCGTGTGTATATTGCTGTTGCATTGGATTATTAAGCAGTGGTTCTCAAACATCTCTTCATGTTGTAATCAATCAGGGCATTAAAAAAATATTGAGGCCTGTGCCCCTTCTCAAGAAGAGCTGATGAAACTAATCTAAGAAACAGCCTGAGCATCTGGACTTACAAGACCTCCCATGTGATTGTAATAGGTTTCAAATTTTAAGAACCATTGTCTTAAAGGGCCCTAAAGTGGGCCATATTTTATGTAGGGATCACATTGGTTTTTAGAAGTACCAACCAAGTGTAAAGACTTTTGTGAAAATCCCTTGTTCAGAGAAATTCTAGAAATGAAGCACAGTGTTCTTAACACAGGCAGAAGGACTAAGAAAGCATACAAAATGTCTATAGTAGGGCACCAGCAACAGTCCCCAGCCAACCTCAAGGCCACATCTGACATTGTCCCACCGTTAGAATGTTGAAAGCAGATATGCTGTCATTGATAACTGATACAAAATAGAATTGGCTTCATTGAAGTATAAAGTAATTAGAAAGAAATCTATGTTCATGATGCCTCATGTTTTGTTATAAACACTATTTTTATCCTTACCACCAGTTCTTCTTACTGCAGTGGAGCTTTATTTAGTTCCAAAGATGCCCGGTACAATTCAGGCTGCTAAGAAGCGTGCCCATTATAAAAGGAAGAAGTCATTTTCATGACATCATTTGGGTCCCCCAACATTCCTTCTGCAGCTGGGCCTTCCAGGCAACCAACGCTTCTCAAGATTTCAGCTGAATGTTCTAATGAGCAAATATCACCTTGCACTTGAAGCTGGATTTGCCCTAATATCTAGGGCTTATATCAAGATTTGAAAATACAGCCATTTTTCTTAGACAGAAGGCTATTTTGTTTGCCAAGGCTGGGTTTTGACATTCTTTCCCACAATCAACTGTTCTTCATCAGTTCAAGTTGATGCAACCATTACCTTTGCTGTAGCTTAATCTCATTTCAGATGCTCAGCTGAACATATAATTAGTCATCATGGCTGCCTAAATCAGCAGTAAGTACAAAGGTTTCCCAAAGCTGGTAGTCTCAGATCAGATACTATTAGATACTGGAGGCTTCATGGGTGTGTAAATGTAGTTCAAGGGTTATGAAAGAAGAGAAAAACAAACTTCAAACATTCTTTGCACTCATGTCACACTGGAAACAAAATCATCTTTAATGGCTGAGCACTGGTAGCTCACGCCTGTAATCCTAGCTACTCAGGAGGCTGAGATCTGAGGATCACGGTCCAAAGCCAGACCAGGCAGGAAAGACCATGAGACTCCTATCTCCAATAAACGACTAGAAAACCAGAAGTGGTGCTGTGGCTCAAGTGATAAAGTGCTCGCCTTGAGCTGAAGAGTTGAGGGACAACACCCAGGCCCTAGAGTTCAAGCCCCATGGCTGACAAAAAAAAAAAAAAAAAAAAAACTCATCTTTAATGGAGTTTGACCCTAAGAAAAAACATTTGAACATAATTCTCAAAGTACTTACTGGGCTTTTCCCTCCTTTTACCTTTTTTTGGGGGTCTGTTGTGGGGCCTGAACTCTGGGTCTGGGCACTATCCTTCAGCTCTTCAGCTCAAGGCTAGCATTCTACCACTAGAGCCATAGTAATACTTCTGGGTTTTTCTGCTTAATGTGGTGCTGAGGAATCGAACCCAGGGCCTCATGCAAGCATTCTATCACTGAGCCACCTTCCCAGCTCCAACCCTCCTTTTACTTTTACCCCTACAGTTTCTTTGATAGAATATATGTAATTAGAGAAGACTTGATGTTCTTGGATATTACGCTGATATTTTCTCAGATGTGGTACGCTTTGCTTGTAAATCTATCTCAGGAGTATAATTTCTTCAAAAATCATCAACAAACACTACTTGACCCCACAATGTCATAGGGAAATTAAATTAGAACAATGAATAGTGTTCAAAAAAACTGAAGCAAAATTTTCCTAATTTCTCATATTTTTAAAAAACGTGTTACTTTTTCAAACAGCTTCAGGGAATAAGGACATGGACTGTGTCATTGCTTGACAAGGGAACAAGTATCCTAACTTCTTCCTCAACTCCCTGTCCTAAAAACTCCTTTACTAATCTCTAGCTGGAATGAGGGCAGGGCTTCTTTTTGGAAGCAGGAACCAAGGCTGATTTTTATCAACTTAATCTAAAGAGGGAAAGGATCCAATCCCAAAGGAATGAGCTATTTACAGAACAAGAGGAAGGGTAGGTAGAATGGGACAGACCCTCCACTTTGATCAGTTAAACACTGGAATGCAGAGGAGGAAAAAGAGAAAGGGATGACCTGAATCCCGCCTGCTCTTCAGGCATTACAGAAAGCCTTACAGAAAGCCAATACAAACTGTATCACATCTGCTCCAGTCAGAAGAAAGTACATTAAAAGGCCTTTTCAAAGTTAAAAGTTTACTCTTCTGGAAGGTGAGTACGTAGGAGGTTCTAAACTATCAAAAATACTGGAGGCAGCTGGCCGCAGGTGACTCACACTTGTAATCCTTGCTATTCAGGAGGCTGAGATTTGAGGATGGCGGCTCAAAGCCAGCCCAGGAAGGGAAGCCCATCTTTAATTAACCACTAGAAAACCAGAAGTGGAGAGTGTAGCTCAAAGTGGTAGAGTGCTAACCTTAAGCAAAAGAGCTCAGGGACAGTGTCTTACCCTGAGTTCAAGCCCCACAACTGATCGAAAATAAATAAAATAAAATCTGTACTGGGGAGGGGAGGGGGGCTACACTGCAAGGCAAAATTTGTTCTCCAACGTCATACACAAAACAGTTCAAGACACAAATTCAGAATTCAAAATCTCATCACTTAGCACATTGCTGCCGGACCAACACATCACACACTAGGTGTCTTTAGTTTTATAATATTATAATGGTTTCTACTCTTCTGCCCTCCCACTCAGAAGAAGCACTGAGTTCAGATTATTCACACTGACAGTGACTGAGCAATTGTATTGTGCCAGATACATCTAATCCTACCTTCAGGGCTGCCAACCAAGCTGTAAGTCACTACATGCTCAGAGTTTGTCTTTGAGTCCTTCAAAAAATTTAGACTCAGGTTATAGCTGGGCTATCTTCCAGATATTGTCAGCACTCTTGGATTGATGAGTACATGGACTCAGAGAAATAAAGTGTCTAGGTGAGCACATTTCACAAAACTACGAGTAGTGTCAGGACATGAACCCAGATTCACTGACTTCTTGACCAGAGGGATCTATTGCTTTGTGGTTTTCTTTGTAAGAGATACAAGTTGGCATTAACAGGCTGGTTATTCTGTTCTTGCCCTCCCTTGCTTTCCTTCTAGTTACCTCTAGCTCAAATCAAGCCAGTCTGGTAGGGGAAAAAAATTATGAGACCCTCAGTGCAATCAATTAAAAGAGCTAGGTGTGGTAGCACATCTCTGTCATTCCAGCTACACAGGAAGCATAAACAGGAGTGAGTAGGCCTTTCCAGACATAAGCATGAGAACCTACTTGAAAATAACTAAAGCAAAACATGGCAGTGCTCATTTATCGAGCACCTGTCTAGCAAGCTTAAGGTTCTGAGTTGAAACACCGGTCCCATCACTTATTGAAAACCAGGGCTTCCACCATTAAATTTATCACTTAGGCAAGAAAGACTTTATCAATAGTCTTTCATCTTCTGTTTCTTAGAAAGGGACAGAGTAAAATTAGGTTTCTCAACTCCTATACTCAATATCTTATCTTAGCGGGCCAGGATTGAAGTATCATCAAATATTCAAATTTTGAGGTGTTTGTCATAAGAATCATCCATCAGCTTAGGGCAGAAATGGGTCCAAAAGTTTCCTGGATGAAGTGGACCCTGAGATGGGGCCCCAGCTGGTATGATTCCATTTTGAGCTTTGCCTTTGTTTTAGGGATTTTAGACTTGATGGGTCTAGTTCCCAGAATGAAAAAAATGCATCTTCTCCCCCTCCCCTGAACAACCTAACCCACCCTTGATTGTTGAGTTAAAGACTGACCCATAAAACAGATAGGTTGTAATTTGGTTCCAACTGGCAACTGTAAGGTCCATTCCTGGATGGCGAGCAGACCCTGCCCAGTACCTGTGTTACCTAGGCAACTGGGACACCTGGAAGAGGTCACATCCGCATCCGCTGAGGTCACATCTGAATCTGATGTGGCCATACCTTTCTCCCACCTGGTCCCACCTCTTACCTGGTCCCACTTCCCTTTACCTGGACACACCTTTCCCTGCCCCTACCCTATAGAAGGCCTAACCTGGGGCAAGACGCTCTCTTTTGCCAGCCGCGTGGAGTGCCAACCTTCCCTGGTCCCAGCAGGTCTACTGAATAAACCTACCCCTTATCTGAATACCACATGCGTGGTGCTGTTCTTACTCGGCTACCTCTTTTTAAAAACCTAACAGCAACACCACTTGCTTATGGTAAACCCAGTCTTTTGCACATGCTTACGGTAAACTCCGCCTATTAGCCATCTGTGTGTGGTCTGATAGGACTGAACAATCCTTTGTGTGTGTTACAATCCCATTGCGCGTGACCAGGCTCCACCTCATGGATTTTGCCTTTAAAAACCAAAGAATGGGGGTCACTCGGGGTCGCAGTATCAGCTTCCCAGCCTGTGCTGCGGCCCTGACCAATCAGTATAGGAACCTTCTCAATAAAGTTGCTTCTTTGTTAACAACTTTGTTGCGGTGAGCTCTGTCACCCCAAACAACTAGGTGGGCTTACCTGCCTGAGTAGGGGTCTTCCTACTACACTGGACATGAGATCCAGGAATCATGTTGTACCCATTGGAGGTCCACCAAGTGATGGATACAAAGGAAGGATAACTTTTCTCCCTGGCTTAGATTGGGAGATGTAGTTGGTTTGTTCAGCACTCTACTTGTCCATTGGTAAGTAGAGATTAGCTCTATCAGGCAGCCAGAAAATAAATGCTGTCTAGAGTAGAACCAAAGTGTTTTATGAGCACCAATTACTGTGGTTAATGAGGATCAATTGCTAATTCATTTATTTTGATAGTACTGGGATTAGAACTCTGGCCCTTGTGCATGATAGGCAAGTACTCTGCCAGCGGAGTCATATTCCTCCACCCACAGCATGCTGATTGTCTAGTAATTGAAACTAATAGTCAAGATGTACCTCATATATTGGTTAGAAGTAAAAAATAAGGTTTGGAGAGAATAGTGCTTATCACACCAAGTTTTCAGGATGGATGGCACTCTGCTTGTTCTTGTCCATTCTGCGTCCTGGAGGCTTAAACCCGGGAGGCCTGTGACTACCACAGGCTCCTCCTGACCACAGACAGCTCAAAACTTCCATCACAATTCCAGAGGTTGACTCTTTAGAACTCAGAACTGAGAAGAACTTTAGAGACTATGCAGGGAGAAGGAAGTGACTTATTAAAACTCACACTTACAGTCAGCTTGAAACAGATGCTGCCCAATCTACAACTACTGACTGGGGTGTCCAATACATGTACCTCTATGTACACCATTGGGTGCTTATTTTGTGATCGAGATGGTTATAATAAATAGCTATAAGATGGACAATATGAAAAAGCTATGTACATATGACCATATAAGATGGTAATAAGCGAAATGAACCCCAAGATAGGGACACAAGAGGTTTTATCTTTGTTGCTGTTGTTTTTAATGTACTTATAATGTACTATGTCATTTTTTTTTGTTTCTTTTGTATGTTCTTCCTGTAAGGTCCGCTCCTGGATGGCTAGCAGACTCCACCCTCCTCGCAGCAAAGTCTCCACCCAGTACCTGCGTTACCTAGGCAACTGGGACACCTGGAAGAGGTCACATCTGCATCTGCTGAGGTCACATCTTAACCTGATGTGGCCACACCTTTCTCCCACCTGACCCCACTTCCCTTTACCTGGAC